AGGGAGCTCGCGGCGCTCTGGCGGCACCGCGGCGCCTGCCGCGAGCCCGGAGCCCGGAGCGCGCGGCGGCGACGCGGCTGGACCGTGCCGGGCACGCTGTGGTGTGGGGCGGGCGACTCGGCGGGGAGCCCCACGGAGCTGGGTACGGCCCCGGGGAGCGGGGTTGGGGGAGCAGCGCAGCTGGACCGGGAGCCCCCCGGAGCTGGGTGCGGCCCCGGGGACAGCGGGGCGGCTCGACGGGGCAGTCGCGCTCACGGGCGCCTTCCGCAGGTCTCTTCCGCGGCCCCGACCGCTGCTGCCGGGAGCACGACCGGTGCGAGGCGCAGATCGCGGCGCTGGAGTTCAACTACGGCATCCGCAACTACCGCCTGCACACCGTGTCCCACTGCGACTGCGACGGCAGGTGCGGGGCGGCCGGAGCCCCCCGACCCGGCCCAGAGCCCCTTGTTCCGCCCGGCCAAGCTCCTCACCCGCCCCTGCCGCAGGTTCCGCCGCTGCCTGCTGGACCTCAATGACACCATCTCCAACCTCATCGGCGTCACTTTCTTCGACCTGCTCGAGGTGCCGTGCTTTGTGCTGGAGCCGAGCGAGGAGTGTGTGCAGTGGCACTGGTGGGGAGGGTGAGTGCGGGGGAGCTGGCGCTGAGCCCGGAGCCCTTGTCCCTGTCCCCAGCATCGCCAGGGCAGCTGAGCCCCCCAGCGCAGCCGGTCATGCCCCGCGGGGTCCCCAGGTGCCAGCGTTACGAGATGGTGCCCCTGGCCAGGATGGTGCAGCCACATCAGTACCACGCGGGTCGCCCATCGCGGCCGGAGGAGGAGGGGACGAATGGTGCCACTAGGCAGCCCCCCAGCGAGGGCAGGGGGAAGCGCCCCAGGCTTGGCCGCAAGCGGCTCCGACAGAGGCTGGGACAAAACCCGCAGCTCCCGGGGCAGCAGCAGAGACTCGTGACGGTGCCGCCGCAGCGGAGCCCCGGGGCGCCGACTCCCGCACTGCCTAGAGGGGAGGCTGAGCCCGCAACCGGGTCCCTGCCGGCGCCGGGGCCTCCCGCAGCAGTGGCCGTGCGGGAGCAGGACTCCGGGGGARGGCAGGAGGTGGGGGCAGCGCAGGAAGCGGGTACGGGCTCAGCACAGCCCACCTGCGCGGCCGCGTGTGAAGGAGACGGCGGCGGAGCCAGCAGGGCCGCGGAGCCGCCCGGAGCAACCGCGGTGCCGCCTCCGCAGCAGGGTGAGTCGCGGCCGGGGACACGAGGAGGGTTTTGCCAAGACGGAACGGGGCCGCCCCTGCCCGCGAGGGGCCCGCGCGCTGCAGGTGTCCCTGGCCGCTTCCTCGCAGGCCGCGGCCGGCCGTGCAGTTGCTTCAAGCGCTTGGACAAGTGCGAGCAGCAGATCGCGCCGCGCCAGGCCAAGCACGCGCTGCACAACGCGGACACCCGCACCCTCTTCCACTGCAACTGCACGCGCAGGTGGGTGCCCTGGGCGCGGGGCGCGCGGGGCGCGCGGGCGGCGCTGCCGTGACCCGCTGGGCCAGGCTGGCGCGGT